AGTTATAGACGTGTAAACATGGAGTTCACTAACGCCGAAATTCGCGTTATTTTAAAGTTTTCCTTCGTTAAAGGCAAACCCGCTATAAAAACCTTCCGTGAGATTAATAGTGTTATGGGGGGGAGGATGGTACTCTATCAGTTCGAACTGCAGAGGAATGGTTTCGACGATTCAGAGCGGGTGAAAACGACACCATGGATAAGCCAGCCGGCGAAAGACCTGTGACGACGAATACCGATCAAATCATAGAAACCATAGAGTTAGAACGGCATGTGGCATCTCATGACATCGCCCAGAAGATGGGATTTAGTCACCAAACCATTTTAAACCATCTGCAGAAGGCTGGATACACAAAATAGCTTGATGTTTGGGTGCCACGTGATTTGACGCAAAATAACCTTCTGGACCGAATCAACGCCTGCGACATGCTGCTGAAACGGAACGAACTCGACCCATTTTTGAAGCGGATAGTGACTGGTAACGAAAAATTCATCACATACGACAATATCAAGCGAAAACGGTCGTAGTCAAAGGCCTGTGAATCGTCCCAAACAGTGGCCAAGCCGGGATTGACGGCCATGAAAGGGAATCATCCACTATTTGCTGCTCCCATATGGACAGACTCTTAATTCTACCATCTAGTGCGAACAACTGGACCACTTGAAGCAGGCGATCGACCAGAAGCGACCAGAATTGCCAACAGGAAAGGTGTAGTGTTCCACCAGGACAACGCCAGACCGCACACTTCGTTGATGACTCGTCAGAAGCTACGGAAGGGAGGTTTTATCCATATAGCCCGAGTGATTACCATCTGCTCCTGCCTATGACAAACGCTCTTGTTGATGTGAAGTTCAACTCAAAAGAGGTTTGTGGCTGTCCGAGTTCTTCGCAAATGAGGAGGGGGCTTCTACGAGGGTGGTATTATGAACAAGCCGTCTAGATGGAAACAGATAATTAATCGGCGCAATTTGAACAAAAACCGATCACTGTTACACTTTTTATAAAGCATTGAATAAAGAGCAAAAAAGCGGAAGAGAACATAACATGTAGGTATGTATGTAATATGTATATAACCACATACATATGTATATTAAAAAGCATGGCAGAGCATATAATATGTGGTAAAGATAAGAGTATGACGCAACTAATCGGATTAGTGTAAAATTTTTACGGCTTTTACATGCAGCTTTACATGTGTAAGTACTCGAGTGCATACACACACACGCACACACCTGTTTTTATTTCATCGCATTCGCTTCGTTGCGTCTACAATTCCATCCAATTACGCGCCAAATTCTCCTGGCACACACAAATCCGCTGTCAGAACAAAGAAATAATTTCATTAAACACACTAATTCCTTTGACGAATTCGCGCGCGGCGATTGGCTGCTGACCTTCGTGTGCGAGCAACAGAGATTTCGCTTTGTCAAATTCTTTGTTTTCACTTTTTTCAGCGACAATGACAAAAGCTAATTGTTTTTGGCCCTTTTCGATGAAATAAAATAGAGTCAGA